AAAACTGGCATATTAAATTGATTTGGTGGAATGCTGTGGATTGATAGAGAGAGAGAGACTGAAGTTCCTTCCCAGGCCAGAGCTCATTTATTCCTGTAGCTACATTCTCTCAACCTAACCCACGACAGCACCAGAGTGCCATCTACTGACGTAAAAGTATGACTTAAACAAAAGAATGTATACAAATTGTTAGAATAAACTTAAATTTTAAATCAGTTAAATTCAATTGTCAATTGTATCAATTGTACATTTTGCCCCCATACCACTATGTAAGAATCTGTCAAAAAAAAGCCCCTCATGCCAAATAGAAACAGAGGCTTTTGAAGTCAATAAAACAAGTTAATATCTTACCAATTGTTGTTTGTTGTACATGTCTGTTGTGTGTAAATGGTACACATGGGTACCTACTTCTAGTTAAAAGTGGGGGTGCCAATATTAGTGACAGGAATGGGGATATGGCAGTAAATGTTTCATGTAATAAACAACTGACAGTGTCATTTCCTGCAATCAAGTCTTCAATAATGACCAAGGCTGTTCTTTCACTATAAAGCTCGGGTAACATTTCATATTAAAATATTTGTTTTTAGCTGTTCTGTACTTTCTGCAGTGACTGACAGATAAATGGCCTAGAGTATATTTAATGTATATATTTCAGTTTGTCAAGAAGATTTGTAAAGCTACATAACTCAGTCATTTTCATTTCTACATCTTTCAATCATGTTTTATATCCTGATAGCCATCAATATTTTAAATGTTCTAACAAAATGAAAGCAGAGACAATATCTGAACTTCCACAAAGTATTATTCATCTCCAGTTAACAGTGAACACTGAAGGAACTTATTAATATACATGTTATTGACTGGAGGGCATCTCTAATGAAAAGATAGACAGAATGGATTGGAATGCATCATAATACTTCCATGGGTGTCAGTGTCAGTGCTCAAATCTGACCAAAGCCAAAGTAACAGGAGGAAATGCTTGCCTTCAGGTCTTGATGAAAGTCGTCATAGTTTAATGCATTTTTTGACAGCTTCAGAGTTTGAAAGTAAGTTGATGACTGTGGTAGGGCAATATCAATAATTTCCACCTCCAGGTTCAGAGAAAGAACACCCCAGCCAGTCCAGAATGTCAGCAGACATTTCAGCTCTTCAGAGGTACCTTCACAACATAATAAAACATTTAAAAGAAAGCACACATAACACAAGGTTGAGTACCTATTCATATCAGAAAAGTAGAAAAATACAAACAAATGAGAACCGAACACACCAGTCTCTATGAATTTCTGTAGGAAAGTCAGTACTCTGCAGTGGTCCTCCATGGTGGCGATGTCGTCATCGATGTCCTCCTCCTCTGGGCAGTGGATGTTGTCCAGAATCATCTACCAAATACAATCAAACAAAATTCTTGAATTCTCAAGAGCTAATTGTTGATGTTATACAAGAAAAAAATTAAGCATTCAAATACAGAACAGTGTAAACTAAGATGAAACATGCACTATAATGCATGAATATTTTAGTAAAACTAATTACTTTAGTATTACTAGTAATACTACTGTCTTGTTACATTTGAAATTGTACTGTGAACTAGCAGCAAGCACACTATGCATATGCATGATTATATGTCACTGTGTGTTTCTGCATACTAGGTTGTAAACTGTAACACCTTGACATTAGCAATGCACATAAGAAATTAATATAGTAGAATTTTAATCGAACTTGGTTGCGGCAAATTTGTTCTAATTTACCTGTGGTGTGATCTCTGCATCACAGGTCCTTGGGAATAGGACTGGCACAGCATGTGGCCTGGAACTGAAAAACTCCCATACACCTGTGTCTTTCAGGCCTCTCCTCATTTGTTTGATCTGCTGGGTGTTCCTCCCAAGAACCTGTAAATGTACAAAAACCAAAAGACAGGGGCTGTGAGGCCATGAGCAAAAGGTCAATGTGGCATCTGTTGTGAATTAGAACTGCTTGTTTGAGATCATATGGGCAGAAGAATAATGTTAACTGAGCAAGGGCAATAGAAATAATTTCACTATCTTTGCAAACTTAATTTTGAAACGTTGTCAGTGCTACTGTGTAACAAAATATTTTGTCAGAAGAATGCATCATGTTGAGGAGGGTCATGCCTGTATATATATAAATATATATATATGTATGCAAAAAAAAAAAAGTGGATCGGCTGCTCGCTGCTAAAAATGTGGCCTGTCGACATTATCTGGTTTTGAAATGTGGCCTAGTTGAAATAGTAATTGAATAGCCCTGCTGTAGTTTGTTTGTTTGTTTGTTTGTTAGCTATCTAACAACACATCAAAAATAGGCTAATTGTAAGCCGGTCTTGTTCAGTGAATCAGTTTATCATGTACACTCAAAAAATATTTAGGCCTAATATTTAAGATAGTTTGCTTATAAATACATGAATCTGGTTGTTCTATATTTAAAACACATTGGGTTTATTAGTGCTATTAAATAAATCACATTATTGCTTATTATACTCATTACTTGAGCTTGCTTTATTTATTCATTTCACAGATAGTTATACATTCTTAGTCCTTAAATTCATTATGAACGTGGACTTAAAATCATTGTTTTATTTTATGGCCTTGCTGCCCTGGCTTTTGGCCTTTGTGCCCTCAAAAAATTGACAACACGAAAGGCCATGTGGCCTTGCCCCTGAAATGACAAAATTCCAGGCCTGATTATAACACTTACTAACAGTTGACTATTTCTTTCCGTAATATTAAGGACATTAATTTGGACATTCTTTCCTCTGGCATTAACTCCCTCCCAAACATAGACAGCTTTTCCACCCCTGATTAACTGGTACTCCATTACAACAACAGTCTTCATAATCTCCTGGACTTCTTGCCCCACTCAAAACCAGATCTGTCACTTTCACCTGCTCTTCACCATGGTTCACTCCCGCTCTCAGACAACTTAAATCCAAAGGACGCCAACTGGAATGCCTCTACAAGACGACTGGTCTCACTGTGCACAAGGAAATATATCACAACCACATTCTCCGTTATAAGGACTGCATCTCGCAGGCTAAATTCTCCTATTATTCCGGTTTAATCAGCTCAAACGATGGTAACTCAAGGGCCCTGTTTTCACTCCTCAGCAACATTACTCAACCTTCGGACTCACTTCCTCCACAGATGTACTCTACTGCCTTTTGTAATACCCTTCTATCCTTTTTTACTGCTAAAATTCATAACATCCATCAGCAACTTGCTCCCAGCTCCTCTCACAATTCATCTTCCTTATTTCCCTCTGTGTCCCCTTCCCAGTCACTCTCATCATTCAATCTACCTTCTGTTTTAGAAACCACTAGTCTGATCAAAAAATCTAAACCATCAATCTGCCAGTTAGATCCCCTTCCAACTGCTCTTGTTAAAGCCGCTGTTCCCTCTCTGGCCCCTCTCATCACGCACATAATCCATTCTTCCCTCACCACTGGAATTGTTCCCTCACCCGTCAATACAGCTGCTGTCACCCCAATACTCAAGAAACCTGGCGCAGATCCCAATAACCACAGTAACCTCCGTCCCATCTCCAATCTTCCATTTCTCTCAAATATACTTGAAAAAACTGTTGCCCTCAGCTCCATTCCTACCTTTCCCGCAATAATCTTTTTGAACAATTCCAGTCCAGTTTCCACCCTCTCTACAGTACTGAAATGGCACTTCTCAAAATCACCAACGATCTCCTCCTGGCAGCCGATTCCGGTCTCCTATCCATCCTCATCCTGCTTGACCTGAGTGCGGCCTTCGACACCATCTCACACACCACCCTCCTGGACAGACTCCTCTCTGTTGGCATCACACACACCCCCCTCAACTGGTTCAAATCCTACCTCTCCAGCTGCTCTCAGTTCATCCAACTCAAATCATTCACATCACAACCACTCCCAGTCACCACAGGTGTGCCCCAGGGCTCTGTCCTGGAGCCCCTGCTATTCATCATTTACTTACTCCCCCTTGGCTACATCTTCTGGAAACATCATATCCACTTCCACTGCTACGCGGATGACACCCAGCTCCATATTTCCACCAAACCCGACTCCACTCTCCCACCTTCCTCCCTCACTGACTGCCTCCTTGAAATAAAATCCTGGTTTTCATCCACCTTCCTCAAATTAAACAGCGACAAAACAGAAATTCTACTCATTGGCACTAAAACCACCCTATCCAAATCTCCCAGTTTCACATTATCTATTGACAACTCTTCTGTTTCTCCTTCCCCACAGGTCAAGAGTCTGGGTGTCATCCTCGACAGCACACTTTCTTACACTTCTCATATCAACCACATAACCCACTCAGCTTACTTCCATCTCCGCAACATCAACCGCCTCCGCCCTTCTCTCACACCTCACACAGCTGCCATTCTGGTCCACAGTCTCGTCACCTCCTGGCTTGACTGCTGCAACTCCCTCCTGTTCGATCTTCCACAAAAAACTCTCCATAAACTACAACTGGTACAGAATTCAGCAGCTCGTATCATCACAAGGACCCCATTCACTCACCACATCACACCCGTCCTGCAGCAGCTCCACTGGCTCCCCATCACACACCGTATCCAATACAAGATTTTACTGCTTACCTTCAAGGCCATTCACAACCTCGCCCCTCCATACCTGTCTGACCTCCTCCACATTGCCACACCCGCTCGCACACTCAGATCCTCTTCCTCCATCCACCTCTCCGTTCCCCCTGCCTGCCTGGCTACCATGGGGAGCAGAGCATTAAGCGCTAACAAATAAAATGTATTATTATTACTATTATTATCATTATTATTATTATTATTATTATTATTATTATTATTATTATTATTATTATTATTATTAATTCTATAACTGATATCTCTTCTGTATTTCTCTTATGTTTCTCTTTTGTTGTACAACATTATACCAGATTATAATATCATTTAAGTGCTGCTGAATGTAATTACCGGTATGAAAATTAAGCTAGTAATTCATCTTCAAAATTCTCCAATGAAATTACTGTACAATTGTTTTATCCTAACAAAATATATGTTCATCACATTTTGACACAATACAAATGAACATGAAATTAGTATTAAACTGCTTCAGGTTAACCAGTGTCAATAAAAAATAATAATACCTCATACTGTATTTTAAACATTAAACCAATAACTGTCCACTCTTTTTAGTGAAAACAATATGGTAAGTATTTTCTGTATTAACTCAGTACCTGTTTCATTAGTTGTGTAAACACCATAAATCTGGCAAATACATCTAACAATGACAGTAACTTAAATCTTATAATGCACTTTCATCAGTACAACATTACTGCTTGACAATTTATTTCTTAGAAACATAGAAATATGGAGTAAAATGATCAGTTCTCTACACATAATTAAATTCCTGTGTCTTTTCTCTGAGTAAAATAAACCATTTTACATTGACTTGCTCTCTTAAACATAAAACATTTCACACATCAGTACAACTAGCTGTGTGGCTGGACCAAATAAGAAATGTGCATTTAAGGGTGCTAATACATATACCAAGTTGTTTTCATGACTAAAATAAACACTCAATAATTAACTGAGTAATGGAAATTAAATATAACATTTTCCCCACAGCATTAGTGAACAGTAGCAGCAACTAACATGTCAACAGCCAAAAGATATCCCCCGATTCTCGTGTGCTCCACTACAGAGCGACGTCAAGGCTCAGGCTCTTCACTAGGTGAGAGGAGTATGCCTCAGGCTTGAAAATGGGTCAGGGGTGAAAAAGGTATGAAGGATACGAGACCTGGCACCTGCTAGGGGGTCCCAGGGTTATGCTTCCTGATTGTTTTTTTTTTTTGGTGGAAAAATGAGCTTCCAAATGCTCATATCTGATTTCTTTTGGATTTACTCTAGTGGTGGTCACATGCAGAATTACAAGATTGCACAAAAACAAAAGTATGAATGTATAACTAAGTGCAAATAAAGTATCTTTACATGTTCACATGTGTTGTATAAGAGACGAGACCAGGGGCAGACTGGGACACAAATTCAGCCCGGGACATTCAGGCGCACAGGCCCACACACTGGCCCACACGTTTCTGCCTATAATCCTCTATATGCCTGTACACACTACACAAACACTGTCCTCAGAATCAACTGCAAAAGAAAATCAGCAGTTATTGTTTAATTCCAGACTATAAAATAAATGCAATAATGAATTGGCCACAAATGGCGATGTGCTTATTATTTAACTTAAAATAAGAGCATATGACTCTATCCTAATGCATCTAATTTTATGCACAATATAATTGTCTGCCCTGTCCTGCCCAGCCCTGCTCTTATATTACATAAGCCCAATTTATATCTCCATGGCTCACAGCCATGAACTAAGGAGGTATAAATTGGGCAATAGGCCCTATAGTAAACTTTTAGTCAACTTATTACTACAACAAAAAAATCCCACATAATACTACTAAAAAGGTTTTCCTGTGGCTAAAATGTAATGCATAGTAGGCTATGCCTTCACATTGCACCTGTCATATTCCTGGTCTCATCCTCCTCCTCATCACGACTGGGGTTAGTCTGTCCCTCAGCTTCATTGTCCTTGGGACTGGGAGCACCACCCAATGTTAATTGCATGCATCCACAGGAAAAAAAGCAAGCACATATTTTCTTTTAGTACAGGTTTAAATTATAATGACCTAATGCAATACCTAGTAGGCTAGTTGGCCTCTTGAAACGCACACCTAGAAGAAATACGCAATTTGCCTGAAGCTCGAGTAGAGCCACATCGAGAGGAGCCAGCTGAGGTGGTTCGGGCATCTGGTAAGGATGCCTTCCGGACGCCTCCCTTGGGAGGTGTTTCGGGTGTGT